TCACCTAGTGACCTGTCATATGCAGTGGCTTCCATAAAAGGTCATGATACTCTGAAATTTTCAGGCGGTGCCTTTTGTTATACCAACAAATAATGGGGGAGTCTGACTTACAGTTTGGATTCAGCCTGAACAAAAATCATAAGAAGTGCTGGGCTTTAATATTGAGCACCACTATTTGTGGGAGAAAGGAGGTACCTTGCAGAGTTTAACTCAATGTTTCTCAAACTTGGCAACTTTAAGATGTGTGGACCAGCCCCAGAATTCCCCAGCCAGCCACGCTGGATGTAGAATTCTGCAAATTGAAATCCACACATCTTAAACTTGCCAAGTTTGAGAAACACTGGTCTAACTGATTGCAGAGAGCAACTTCTAGTTCCTCAAGCAATTAAATGCCATTAAGAAATTGCTCGAAAGGAAAAAAAAAATCTCAGTATAATTTTTTGAACTGGTCTTAGTTTCAGCAAAAGACAAAACTTACTGTAGCTAAAAATGAATCAATGCATGTGACAGACAAGGAACACTTGCATATATAATTTTGAAAATTACCCTGATAATTCTAGGCACACTATTTCCATCTCACAAACCTGAAGGCACTCTACCCTTTAGATAGGTGCAATAGACAACAGGCTGGTATGATGACATGAATGCACCACTAAGCATTTATAAGCTGGAATTAGCTTTCGTCAGTTAAGACCCTAACTTATACAGCAGCTGGCTCAGCATGTGATTTTTTTCATGCACAAAGACAGAATACTTACAGAACTGGATGGACTATAAGCTCTGGACTGTAAGATTTTATTACAGTTGCTGCATCTTTGGTACAAAATACGTGTGATAGGTCTGCCCCCTAAGAAAATGGACACATTTTCCATCGTTAATAACATTTATTTAAAATTCTTCAGTTACTTTTTTCTCCCTTGATTTCATGCTGAAACTCAACATTTTCAGGTTTATCCTTCATATCCATTCCCCAAACTTAAATACAGAAGTAATTCTCACTGATTTCAATAAAAAAAAAACTTGTTCAGGATTAGAAATAAACATACTTTCTGTATTTAAAAGCTAGTACCCAAAACTCCCTTACTTTATTGATAATTAAAGAGTATGTTCATATCTGTTTTCTCAAACTGAAGTTGGTTCCAGAAATGAAACTTTTAAAGTGGAAAATTTAGGTGGAAATAAACGAGGACAGTTTCTCCCCATGAGGTTTGCAATGCAGCAATTACAAAAGTGAAATACACTCCTGAAGTAACTTATTATGGATATGCAGAGATCACCAGCTCCACTTTGGGGGCCAGATCTGAAGCTCCAGAAATGACCCAATTCACTTCAAATCATTCCTGGATTAGTCTGATTTAACTTGATCCCAGATCAGAAGCAGATTTGGAAAATGGAACCTGACAATTTAGTGTGAGGAAAATATAGAAAATAGCTATATATTTTTCTTTCATAAGAACAAGGCAAAATTTGTAAGACAATTAGATAATTACAAGGGAATGGAGAATATTAAATATCAGAGAAATTGGTATAGGGTTTTTGAGCTCCACTCTTTTACAATGTTATTTTAAAAAAGGTGCCCATACCTTTTTTGAAATTTGAAGCAAAAAAGGCTCCCATCATGAGGAATATCTGTGCAAATTACAGACAGACTGAACACAAAGGGCGGAGGTAAGGAATAATGATGTGTCTTCCTTAATTGCAGTGCTACTAATCCTCAGGGGTTGAGGTCTAAGAAATAAACTCCATTGTCTTTTTCCATACAAGTAAATAGCAATTTACAGCTAGCTAAAATAGCACATAAAACATCACCAAGCAAGTGCTAAGAACGAGAGACTGAGAAATAGTTAAGTTAGAGTCAACATAAAACATTTAAACAACACACATTTCTCCCAAGATCTTTCTTCCCCTTATAAGACTGGGCATCCAAAGGTAGATCAATTGTACGACTGCTCTGATTTAATTAATAACTACATCCAATACTCACCTCCCTCCTGTGCACAGTGTTTTATATAAATGTTAGCTTTTTTTTTTTTTTTTTGCATAGCTGCTCCAGTACCATTTGCAGCATGCCAAATCTATGAAGCAACAGGTCTGGGCCAGAGCTTCGCAAAGGAGTAGAATTTGGAACACAGCAAGTTAGGGTGCCCAGTCCATCTTGAATAAATGAAATACTGCAAATCCACCAAGAAATTCAAGCTTCATCCAAGGTTAATGAGCAGCCTTAGAAATTACTATTTCCAAGCACCATTGTACACCCTGTGTAACCAACACCTGATGACTCAAAATGGAAATTAGAATTTATAAATGCAATCACCTACATATATAGTCAGCTGCTGTCAGCACACTAAAATTTCAGAGTTTGCTGAATAATTTTGACATTTCAGTAATACAAAACTAGCATTTTCGTCTATTACTGGGCACAGGGTTCAGCACATTTTTTTTTAATTGGTTTAACTGCGCTTAACTTTGCGGAATAAAGAACAGTATATCTTTAATTGTGTACTTCACACAAAGACAGGAAGAAACATACCACTTTGAGAGCAGAAATTGCAGCAAAATATGGTGCTCCTGTATACCTGCATATGAAAAAAAGAAAAGAAACAGGAAATATGTACTTTGTTAAAAATATAAGAACTTATATCACAATAATGAAAAGTTATCAATTAAAGTAACATCACATCACTTGATTAGCATATTTGTACTAATTCCTTGACATAAGAACACTTTTGTCAATGATAGTAAATCTAACATTGCATTGCCTTTTCACACAACCATTAATATTGTACCCAGAGTTATCCTAAAATAAATGATTTATAAGCACTTTTGACCTTCAGATGTAGAATGTGACAAGAACTCCCTAAATCACTGATTATCATATAATTTTAGTGAATGTACACACAAAACGGAAACTCTATTTCATGAAAGTTCATGTATCATACAATTTTAAATTAAAATTTTAGTACATTCTTACAAGATTAGTCATTTTCACATAAGATAAACGAAACTGGGAATCTTGTTTGGCCAGCCCATTGTCTTTTGAGATGATCACCTTTCCAGCAAACTTAAATTTGTTGTGCTAAAGTATCTTTTAAGTGAAAGGTGAGTTCATGAATTCTACATGTAATAACACATTCCACTTTTTTTTTTTAAAACTATCATGATACATACCCAGAAAACAGTTCAGTATTTTCTTCCTTAACGGTATTGCTTTTTATGAAAGATAATCATTTATATAATAAATTGTGGAATTGCAGTCAGATGGTGACTTTAAGATCCAATTAAAGAGCTCTCAGGCTATCATACTACTAATTATGAATAGGATACACATGTATTATTCAAATTTGCTAATTGATTTAATGAAAACTGGATGAAACTGGAGTCATATTCCAACAGTGCAGAAATATGGCAGCGACCAGGTCAATGTATTCTTTCCTTTCTGTCATCCTTTTCAGACCAGAATGGAAAGTTTAATTAAAGCAGTAACCTTTCTAGTTAGAAATAAACTAAATCTGCAACAGAATTGTTTGCTTGATAGTAATAATTACTGCAAATTTGGAATACACAAAAGAAGGTGCCCTTGATATACCTCTAGTGGCTAAAGCATGGATTGGCTGTGACACCTTAACTGAAGAGTAGCACAATGTCTATGCCCCAGGCATCTAACAGCAATATGTGTTGTTTTATTTGAAGACAACTACTTCCATGTAAGAAAGAAAATCTTGTAAAATTGGAAAATAACTAGTTTTTAATAAGTAAAAACAGTACA